CCGCTACCTGCTCGCCGACCGTCGCCGACCCGCCCAGTCCAGCTCCTGAATGCGTGCCATAGTTCAGATTTTTGATGTAAGATTCAGGGTGAGATGTCCCTATGCTCTCTCCATAGTCAGTCCGAGCGAGTTCAGCGTGAATTCAGGCAAGAGTCAGGGAAGAACATTTTCCCTAGGGGCTGCAGCTCCGTAACCTTCGTGGAACAAAATCCGGCGACCACGCTGAAAATTTTGACTAAGTTTTTTTTTCTGGCCAACTTTTTTTCTGGCCAACTTCAGGCAGGTCTTATTCGTTTTAATTTTGTTCTATATTGCTTACGTCTTCTCTTACTTTAATGCACTTTTCTCAGCTACCCCGTGCATAATGTTAACGCACGGGGCCCTACGTATGCCAAACGCGTTTGCTCGACTAGGTTCCCGGCTTCCCGCTTCTACCCGCTTGCTATTATCCTCACCCCACACCTTCTGCTTTACTGTACCTAATACTAATGGGTGATGTAAGTACACCTAACGGTCTTTAAAGGTATTTATTCCAGAACAGTAGCATACATCACGGCAGCCGAGAGGCTGCCTCCTCAGCATCCAGGAAAGCGTTGGCAGCGGCCTCGGCGGCGCTGGCCTCGTCTTGCTCGGCTAGTTGGCGGGCGGCGCGGGCCTCGTCGAGCCACAGAGCCGCCTCCGCCGCCGCGAAGGCCCGCATCTGGGCGGCAGCCTCGGCGAACTCAATAGGGTATTTCACCTGACGCAAACCGGATCCAAAGAAGAACAATAGTTCTTCCTGAACTCTTTCCTCCTTGTCGCTCATCGGCCGATGCCGACGAAGTTCTCGGACCCGTCACTAGGGGTCGATCGCCATTGTGGCCAGTTCATGAACTTCGTCAGCGTCAGCCAATCAGAGCAAGGGAGGAAAGAGTTCAGGAAGAACTCTTGTTCTTCTTTGGATCCGGTTTGCGTCAGGTGAAATACCCTATTTCAAAACGATGCTCGAGCAGCTGCTCGCCCTCGCATTGGATGCACAGCGTGTATGAGTTGGGGCACTCGGAACAACCCCAGAGGCAGCCTGGAGTCTCGGGCAACACGTCACCCTCGGAGGAGTCAGCTGTAAACAAACAAGGGCCTGGTAAAGGTTTCAAGGGCATCAATGTTTAACACTTGTGACTAATAACTACGCTACTCACAGGTCTCGGGGCTGAGGATGTCGGGCGACGACGACGGGCCAGGAGACTCGGAACGGCCACCAGCGCCCAGCTCGCCGACCCACCGCCGGTCACCCACGGGATGATTCTGCGAAGGCCCAACGTCTTCGTCACTGGACGACTCCTCCGGGACAGCACCCAGACGGGTCAACACCTCAGCGGTTGGGCCCACCCATTCAGAGGCCCTGGGGTCCCAGACCGCCAAGAGGACATGCCCCCCGTTGGCCCACACGCCGGGACAACTGGCTGCAAAACGAGCTAATCAGCATGGGCCTGGACAACTCGAGGGGTACATCACTCCGATTCTGGGCGTACACCTACTTTTAGTCGATTTTTTTGGGCCGTGACTTTTTGACTTTTTTGACTTTTTTTGTACTTTTATTTGACGTTTTTTTTGACTTTTTGATCAAATTTATTTGACTTTTATGATTTTTTCGCTGCTATATTTTTAAAATAAGGGAGAGTTGTGATCTTTGGGCTAGTAATATAGGTTTTTCCAAGACTTTTTGGTACTACCCGGATGTAAAGATCCGTACTCAGTACTATAGCCGAAAACTGTAGTTAAACTGTAGTTAAACTAAAGTTTAATTGCAGGTTTCTATAGTTTAACTGCATTTTTTTCGGATATATATTTGTAGCATGAATCGAATAAGAAGAAAATTCGTCATCAGAGTACACCCCCTAAGTAAGAAAAGCAAGGTATTTTCAGTATTTACGTTTTTTGGTAAAGAAATCCCATGAATTCCGATTATTTTATTTTTCTCACTTCACCCACCACCCACCCCTCTCCCTCTTTAAAA